GACTGACAGCTGCATGAGCCGTTGCCATGGATACCGTCAAAGCACTGCGTGTGGTGAAATAAATAATTAAATCAAATACGTCAGTTGAGAGACAAGACTCCCGTGACACAGTCGTTTGTTTGTTGCTCACCGTTCCTTTGTCGTAGCAGGGATTCTGGAATCCTCCGATACAGGGTTTACAGTCCGGACCATAAAAACCTTTACAACACTCTGCTACCTGTTACACACACACACACACACACACACACACACACACACACACACACACACACACACACACACACAATGTTCAGTATAAAGGAAGCTACTGATGAAGGTTTTAGTGTTTCCACTCTCACCTGTCTGGTGGTGTTGCAGTACTTAGCGCAGCCTTTACTCTGTCTGTGTGCCACAGGAGACGGGAGGTATTCACAGCCGACCTGATGTTTGTCCTGGAGAGAAATAAACAACATGAGAGACAATGGAATCCAAGCAAAACCCCCCTAAAGTAAATCTGTTTAATATACAATTATACAATTCCTTTCTCATTGTTATTAAAATACTCTCAAATTTGATTTGACATATATAACACAGTGTCTCATAAATGCACATCTCTGAGTCACCGATCTTCACAGAGGAGGACAAGCGTTACAAATATTTTATGTTTAAGTCTAGTCTGTGCTTTCACGGGTATAAATAGCAAGTTACATCACTGTGACACTATCGAACACTCACAAACCGTTAATACTAGAAGTCATATTGTTCCCATGAGCACAAGTTTTCACCTTTATTCATCTCTGCTCATGAACTACCAAGCTGGCTGCATGAATCTATACATATAAACGTAGATTTCAGTGGGGAATTGATCAGTGTAGATATTGTATTGCAGTAACAATGACGTATTTTACCATCTCGGTGCTGCCACTTGGACATTCTGTCTCATAGAGATAACTGCAGTGACCACATGGACCCTAAAAACACACATGAATAACACTGTCATATTAACATCAGCACCCGTGTACAAAAAATGAAGAATGACAAATCTGGTGATGCTGAAATGATTTTGACACAATTACAAGCCTTGATAGATGAACACACTCAGTCATCACCCTGTGATTTAGTGCTTTGTTTACATGCTAATTCTTTTGTAGTTCCAGAATATGAAGCGCAGACTTTATTCTTCCATGTTCACCACTGTTAACCCCAAGGCGACACTAGCAGCGAGTTCATGCAGCTGTATTTTTATGTGTTCTCAATGAAAAAAAAAAAAAAACCTAGTTGAAATCTTCTTTTATCGCTGAAAGGTAACTGCGACTTGGTGCAATGGAAACAGATTTGGTGAATAATTGTTGCCTTGAGTGGCATTTAAATGTCACTGTTCCGCTCTGGGAGATGGGATATATATATCAGGCGTGTGTGGACCAATGAGGATTCTGTCAACGAAGCAACAAAACAAATGTAGTTTGCTCTTCATCAATCCGCATGTGCTGCATATTCCGAGGACGCATGTTACTGCCAGTTCCATTGTCGAGTTAGCACCACCTACTGGTTATCTTGATGAACCAACTCCTAATTATCGCATAACTAGCTTCTCACCACAGTGATCTTGCTCTCGATGATGTCACAGCGGTGAGGCAAGATGGGAAGGATGGAGGGTGGGTACAGCAACCCGTCAATCATATGGATGATCCCATTGGACGCCACAATGTTGGTGGTCACCAGACGGACGCCCTTCTCCCCCAACAGGATCTCACCCTGCAGAAGAACGCAGGACGGTCAGGCAGTGCTAATGGACACTGCTAATGTTTCCTGGGAATGAATCATGACACAAACACTGAAGAACAAACCAGAGACACTTACATCACTGGACACAGAAATGGTGACGATCTGATTGGCCATCGTCAGAATCTTAGGAAGAGAGGCCAACTCATCGACTGTCAGCTACCGACAGAAGAAAGTGATCAAAGAGAACTTTTAACTTTTTAAGAATCATGTTGGAGAAAACAAACAGCATCCTGTAAACTTGACTCTTCTTAGGGCCACAACCCACAGCAGAGTTAAAACTGTCACGTTTCTCCTGAAGGTGGCACAAGAGTAAAGGTAAAGACTTTGTTAAAGGACATGTTCACAAGCTTTTCTGTCTTAAAAGTTATAAGACTATTTAGACCAGTGTAAACGAGTTATATTTAAGACTTTGTCAAAAGAGTTTTAGTGAAAAATTCCTCATTTTGCTGCAACTAAAAGATTATGAGAAATCTCGCTGTGAACCAATGTGTTGGATAGAAAGAAGTTTTTTCCCCTCCTTCTTTACTAACGTGGCAAAAGGCAAAAGGAAAGAAAGACGCAGAATGGATAAACAGATGGATCGATGGAGGAAGCGTTGGGTCGGGGACGTCTTACCACAGCCTGGGAGAAAACGTGGTGTCTGAGGAGTTCCTGAAGTTTATGTTTGGCCTTAAAAAAAGAACAGAATCGTTAAACATTGGCTGGTTTTTACATTAAAATGACTAAACTGTTCTAAATGTTATATAAGTATTTGTAAACAGCAGGAAGATATTGGTTTTTGACTTTTCATTGGATTTGTTGATGATATTAAAAATGAAATATCAGCAGACTCATCCCCTGTGTCCGCCTGGATGATATTTACTCAACACAAATGAATCAAAACTGAAGAATGAATGAGACGTGACTCTCCTCCCTGTTTCCTCACATCATTCAGCATGTACAGGATGCTGCCGTCTCGCGCTAGATCCACTGCCTGGTTGGTGGGAACAAACACCGTCAGGGGTCCAGGACCCCGCAGAGGAGGTGGCGACCCGCAGTTCTACAAACAAACAAACATGTCACATCTGATTAGAACCATGGATTCAGCACAGATTCATGTTTACTGCCAGTTCCAGTGTGTGAGCTCAGCCTTTAATTTCTAGCAAACAAAAGTTTATTCTGCAGAATGATGAACAGTTTCTTGAATAAGTTGTCTCCAGGCTGATTTGAAAACAATATTAAGACGTCCTTTATTTGCACATGACGGAGAGCATCCAGTGCTGTGTGAAGGTTTTATTCAATCACAGAATACCATCAGGGACTCGTCCCCAATTCTCTCTGAAGCATGATGGCAAGCCCAAGAGAAGGACGGCCCAGCTCTGATGGGATGTGGTAATTCATTCCAGAAGTGTGTCTGTCTTTAGCTCACACATCTCGAGAAGCGTTCCTCTAATTGGCTTCACACTTGGTACGTTTACCATCTTACATTAGAGCAGATACATCTCATGTTTAATCCTTTTATTGCTCTTTGTCTTTCTTCTGAATTGTGATGGAGCAGAAGAAGCAGGAAATAGAAAAACTGAAAACTCCTTTTGACCAATAAAGTTTGATTTCCTCTCATGTTGGGATAAAAAGCAAATATCTCTATGATGTTACCAGCCAGAACAAAACACTCACATCAACCAGAGATAGGAAGCGATTAAATTTTCCATCCTTAGTCAGAATCTCTCCGATCGTCTTATCAGCAAACTGGATGAAAGGAAAAGAAGAAAGAATTCAAGTTACTATTCAAATACACCAGCGGTCAGTAATGAGGTAAATAGTCAGATAATTGAACCATATTGATTTGTATAACTTTTGAGCACAATTAAAGGATTTGATCAAACATGGGCATGGAAGTTTTACTGAAACATTTGGTTTTAACTGTTTGTCTGAATACCATATATTTCAGCTCTGTGTAGATGTTGTAATTTGTGTAATCACAGAGTTTTCCATATTTGGTGAAATAACTCTTGAACTCACCTGCTCGTCACGAGGAGACCTTTCATAAAGAGGGTTTCTGATTGGCCGGTCAATGATGTGGATGATCCCATTGGCTGCTGGCAGGTCTTCCTGGAGGACAGTGTATAATTTGCTGGGGTTTTCCATCAGGATGAACCTCTACAACAACAACAGCGCAGAAAGAGAGACCACAAGAGACACATTCAGTGTGTTTATGTGAACTTAAATAACCTGGTTAATACAATTATCTCATGTCTTTGACATTGTGAGAAGTTTCAGATGATTTCTTCCGAAAGATTTGTCTTCAGCGTTTAACAAATATGAGCAAAATAACTGACGACAAGACACATTAAGAATTGGACAGACAGAAGACACCTTCTTCGGACAGACTTCTTCAGGAAAGGCTCTAGCATTAAGCATTAAAAAGGCTGCTGAAAACTGCGTACACACAGTAAAACCGGCAATTTGGTCAAAGGTACAGGCCTCTGTCATTTGAGGAAAATGCAGCTGCCTCATTATAATCATAAAATGTCCAAGAACATTTTTGTATTGTTGCTGTTGACCAGTTAAATAAAGAGATGCTCCAAATCATATCTTTCCTATAAATTACTGCCCTCCACCAACAAGGGTGGTTTCAGTCCCTCCACGTTTTACTGACATATTGCATTCACAATAATATAAATTCTAATCAGTTAATCTTTGATGTTTGGGCCCGATGTAGTGAGATTCCACACAGAGGTTCCTGATATATCATGTTCACAAGAACAAAAAGCTCACCGTGACTTTTGACCAACAAAGTATAATCATTTCATATTTATCAACTTATTAAAGAGAACGTTGGAACCAAATTTGAAGAAACTTCCTGAAGGAATTCTTGAGCAATTGTGTTCACAAGAGTAGGATAGATGGAGAGACTGATAACCTTAAAGCACAATGCCTCCGGCCACTGGCTGCTACTGGTCCGCAGGCATATAAATAAATTATGAAGTAAATGGAAATTCCTGCAGTATATATATATAGATATAGAAATAAAAGTGTAATGTTAAGGCCTGGCTGCCTACGTTTCCTTCATTGGCTGTCTGCTCCATGACCTTGCAGAAAACCTGTCTTTAACATGTGATAACTTGGTGTCATAAACATGAGGAGTCTGAAGATACGCCTGAACAAAGCTCCACCCACTCTGACTCAATTCAGACAAACAGGAAGCAAAACTTATTATTCCTTCTTCCTGAGGAGACACACACACACACAGGAATACACACAAGATAAAGCTCTACACAAAAACAACCACAGCCACTGAGAGGACAACCGCTGGAGGACACACTGGAAACACTGGGTTGCTGGAATACTGGAATACCTGAACTTCAACAAGCTGCCGACTGAGCCACGACTCAAAGTGAAAGTAAATCTGTAAGTCTGTTTGCTGGGCTTTCAGTTTTACTTAGAGACAAAATGTCTTCCACATCAGACGAGGATTTCTTTTGTCCCATCTGCCATGATATCTACAACGATCCTGTTGTCCTTTCATGCAGCCACAGCTTCTGTAAAGCCTGTCTGCAGCGATGGTGGAGGGGGACACAGGTAATTTTGTGTCCGTGCTGTAAGAGAAGATCGTCGAAGAGTGATCCACCTCGTAACTTGGCTTTAAAGAACCTGTGTGAGGCGTTCAAGAAGGAGAAAGATCGTAGAGATTCAGTAAAGTCTGAGGTTCTCTGCAGTCTTCACGCTGAGAAGCTAAGACTCTTCTGTCTGGATCATATGGAGACTGTGTGTCTCATCTGCAGAGATTCAAAGAAACACACCGGCCACACATTCAGACCCATTGATGAGGCTGCACAGGATAACAGACAGGAGCTGAAGAAAAACCTGAAGCCTCTGCAGGAGAAACTGAAGCAGCTTGAGCAAGTTAAAGGAAACTGGGACCAAACAGCACAGTACATTCAGGTCCTGGCCCAAAACACAGAGAGGCAGATAAAGGAGCAGTTTCAGAAGCTCCACCGGTTTCTAAAAGAGGAAGAGGAGGCCAGGATCACTGCTCTGAAGGAGGAAGAGGAGCAGAAGAGTCAGATGATGAAGGAGAAGACTGAGGCTCTGAGCAGAGACATAGCAGCTCTTTCTCACACAGTCAGAGTCACAGAGGAGGAGCTGAGAGCTGAGGACGCCTCATTCCTGCTCAGCTACAAGGCTGCGGTGGAAAGAGTCCAGCAGCGCCCCCTGCAGGATGATCCACAGCTGCTCTCAGGGGCTCTGATAGACGTGGCCAAACACCTGGGCAACCTGACCTTCAACATCTGGAACAAGATGAAGGAGATGGTCTCCTACACTCCTGTGATTCTGGATCCGAACACTGCTGACCCCGAGCTTGTTGTGTCTGGAGATCTGACCAGTGTGAGATCTGGAGGCCGTCATCAGCTTCCGAAAAACCAGGAGAGGACCAAATTCTCCTGCTCCGTTCTCGCCTGTCAAGGATTTAACTCAGGGACTCAAAGTTGGGACATTGACGTCGGAGACAACAAGGACTGGGAACTAGGCATGTTGGGAGAGCAGAGCACGATGAACGAACGCCCGCAGGCTGGACTGTGGAGAATTATGTTCTCCAACAGGAAGTTGACAGCGTTCTCCACATCAGGCTTAGAGCAGGATCTGTCTCTGACGAAGAAGCTCCAGAGGATCAGAGTTCGTCTGGACTTCGATGAAGGAAAACTATCATTCTATGATCTTGACTCCAACACACACATACACACATTCAACGACACTTTCACTGACACCCTGTTTCCATACATTTACACAGAGAGTCGCCTCTCGCTGAAGATTTTACCGTTGAAGGTCTGTGTGACCGTGAAACAGCCAAGTTAAAGATCATGATGACAGAGTTGGGAAATATGACAAGATCTACTGAGAGAGGAAAATTCTCGATTGACACAAATCTTTCTTTTCATTTGCCAAAATATCTTTTATATTTTTATCTTTGGTTGTGTTACCAACTTGGGGGTAACACTGGATTTACATGATTGATACGTCAATGTAATGAATAATGTAAAATTACAAAAAAAAGTACGAGGAAGGACCTCATGAGAAGTCTGGAAGCTTAAACTGTCAAAATCTGCTCCAGCAAGTTAAAGAGCGAAGAAACTGTTAAAAATACTTTTTTGTTGTTTTGTTGTTTATCTCCAATATTCAGCAGGAAACTTTTAAAATATGAACAATTCTAAACAGAGTTTGGTGGATTTGTTACAGCTCTTCTGGTTCCGGAAGCAGGGGATCATGGGTAATATCCACTGCTGAGTTGTGTTTCAGTTCAGTGAGTGGGACGACACAGTCTGAGCTCCACTCAACACATTGTTGTTGAAAACCACAAGCATGGAGACCAGACATGGAGCCCAACATCGCGTGCCAACAGTGCTTCTGCCGACGTCTTGTCACTATAGCGACCCACCCCGAGATGATGGTGACAAAGCTGGGATGTCTTTACAGATTCTGTAATTTCTTTAATTTCTTTCTGTGCTGTGAAGTCTTTTGACATTGGATGGTGTGGTGTTTTTGGATAAAATGATTAGAAATAGGTGGAAGGTCAGTTAACGAGGAATAGCTCAGGTAGGAGGGCAGTATAACTTCAGTGTTTTGTGTTATGTTATGTTGAAAATGTGAATATATAAAACTGATTAGATGTAAAGTAAAAATCCTTTTGTTTAACAGAAAGCAAATCTATAATTTGCGCGTTGTGATTTTTCTCAGGTTTAATTTTGAATTATTTTAATTTCGAGATCAATAAAAATAAAATCAAAAGAATCAATTCCTTTGTCTAGATTGTTTATTACCTTGTTGTCTTTGCCCCTGAACCTGGCTCCACCATACAGGTTTAAGTCTCGTCCCTCCAGGTCCTTGTAGAGGTGCTGACCCAGGATGAGGTGGTTTTTACACACCGTCTCTTCATTAACGCCCTGGAAGCAAAGTATAAATTAGTCGACCAATAATCTGGGATTTATTTATTGATCATTTCCTTCCTATTAGAGAGGAGGTGTTTCATGTGTTATAGATCAATCTGAACTGTCTCTATGTCTCTAATCAAAAATGTCTCATGAATATTTAAAGGCTCCACAATGTCACAGTGAAGGAAGCAGTTTAATTCACTCATGTTTATCTTTACTTATGTTTATCTGCTAACATCGTAGTGGCACAATTGCACAGATTTCAGTGTGTGTTTTATTTGTGTGTATACATTCCACCTGGTGGCTCACTGTGGTAAAGGTCATAAATCCCACCTCCTCCATGTTAGTAGAGATGGACCAAATCAAAAAACATTCACATTTACACGTTCATACAATTTTCTCAAAGATGGATTCTTTCGTTTTAGTTAGTTCTTCACACACTCATGTATGCTCAAGTGTTTTAAGTTTCTGATGAGTTTGGTTTGAATTATTATTTAGTGATGCTATAAAATGAGGTGAAACGTCACGACTGACAGATGAAAATGACTCGTGATCGGTTACGTGATCACTTCTGTGCTGAATAGTGGAGACGTTGCCTCCATGTTTATTTACATTCAATGTTTCTGTGCTGAGGAAAATTGAGGAGGCCATTAAAAGAAGAAGACAGACAGACAGACAGACAGACAGACAGACAGACAGACAGAGGTTAACCTACAGTCAGAGGTGTTTTCATGAAAGGGATGAAAGCTGTGAAAGGACCATTGCGACTCAGCAGCTGATAACAGCCTTTCTCTGAAACACACACAGAAACATACACCAAGGGTCACAGCAAAGACAGAACACCATCGCCACCACAATGACACCAAACTGAAGCAATCAACAACAACCATCATCCAATAATTAATGAATTGACAGTTTTAGATCCACGGCAAATATAAGCAGTTAATCAATAACTGAAGGAAAAAATCAGTGAAGTCAGTCGTTCACAGTCCTGACATGTTACAGTGCAGCACCAGACTGTGTCACAAGCATTTTCTTGAGTGAATTAGTGTTAGGTAAGAAGTTCTGGTTCTTTTACCAAACAGGGCGACGGCCCCAGTCAGATTTTCTCTCTGGTGTCCGCTCCTGCCGAGCTCAATGATCCGCTCCATCAGGTTACCATAGCAACGCCGACCATCCCCGATCTTACCTGCCTCACACACACACCTGAGGAAGGAAAGGTGACGGGCTGACTAATTACACTACAATGCACACATTCATGCAAACTAAACAAAGAGCTAAAAGACAGAGACAAGCAGTGTCTGACGTCAGCTGCTCGTGTAGATCTGGTTCTTGTTCTGTATCTAAACCGACAGCAGGTTCTCGTCGTGGGGAACAAAAGACATGAAAAGTGTTTGTGACTCTGACCGGGGTTGTCCATCCAGCTCAGTCTGACAGACAGCTGTGGGGTCACACGTGTCGGCTGAACAAGCAGAAACCAGCTCACAGCCAAACTCAGGACTGCCACCTACAGGGGACATGCCAGACATGCACTCACAGCTGGACTGAGAGACAGACACACACACACACACACAGACACACACAATGTTAAAGAAAATAATTTAAAGAAAATTAAATTGTATTACAGAAAATCAGTTTTGTTCCCGTACTGAGTGAAAAACAGTCAAATTTTTGTCTTAACTTCACATAAAATTCTATAAAATGTGGTTGAACCCGATCGCTCCTGGCTCTGGAGCGCTCCTCACCTTGTTGGGTCCTTTAAAGACGCACACGGTAGAGTTGATGGGACACCCTCCATTACTCTCTGAGCAAGGGTTTCTGGGTATGCAGATCTTGCCGTCACCCTGGTAGTCGGGCTTGCAGACGCAGGTGACCTTTGACCTCTGTGAGGAGCACTGGGCGTTGACGTCACAGTCTCTCGCTGAACAATAACCTGAACAGGAGAAAGAAGATTATTTACTGAGTCCAGATGAGACCTGAAGATTTTTAACCCTCAAATATAAAAGAAAATCAGGATTACACACTTGTGGTTGTTTGTCTTCACAAACCACAATTCCCGAGTTACGCTGTTAAATACATACATTTAAATTGGTTTATAGAGGACGAGATCAGCAAAAAGCAAAATTTAATTCCAATAGCTGTGTTTTGTTCAGTAGATGGCAGTCACTGTGCATATTTACCACATAAAGTATTGAACTTGCACACTTTACACTAAAATTTCAAGATTAGGACCTGAATCAATGAATAACACGACTTTATACCTGTATAGTTTAGGGGTTTAATTACTCTTTACACTAATGTTCATATAAAAAGAGAGAAATCTCAGATGAATGTGGAGCAGCTTGTTTACTTGCGCATTTGCCCTGTGATGTCTTCTTGTATCCAGGCAAACATTCACAGCTGGCGGTGTCTCCCTCTCCGCTACAGTATGAGTAGGGGTTGCAGTTGCTGCACCTGGAGTTCACTGTCAATAACACAAACACAACAGCAGCAGTGTGAGCAGCAATGGAACATGATACAAACAGTATACGTGTACATGGAGCAGCACTTACTGTGTCTCTGAGAAGCTGACACCCTGAAAACAAGTTTGCTTTAATCATTTAAAAAAATTCCTTGTTCCCTTTTGACTGTTTCAGTGTCTCTGACAGTGTAGCTGCTGAAATCCAGTGAATTCATCTAGTCGTCTTTAATTATTAGGGTGAACCACAGACACTTGTGTCCGTCTTTATATCCAGTCTTATGGTTTACACTCCCAAAGCAGCAGCGAGCACTTTGTGGCCTGTTTTTCCACCATTCTTCTGAACCCTCAGGAGCTTGATATGCAGATATGCGTATGATATGGTGAGAGGAAGCTCTGCAGACACAACTCAGAGCTGAAAATACAACTGCAGCCTCCTCCTATGTTTGGTCTGTGGGGGATAAATAATTGAATCCATATCTTTACTCAGGGTGTAAATTAAATTCATCCCTACGAGTTCACAGATGAATATTAATCAGAGATAAGGCCGCTCTCCTTCTAGTCGAGATGAAAATAAAACGTCATCAGTGTGGATGATGAATTAACAATACAAGGGATTAAATTGCTAATTCTACTTACTGACATTATTATTGTGGAAATTGTATTTTATCTCTTAGTTTGATATAAATGTAGGCAATAACTTTCACCTACAGCAATTTTTGAGTATTTAATTTTCTTCATCAAAATAGAAAGAAGTCAGATCATAATCAGAGCAACTGAGAATTCATAAATTATACAATTTAATTCAACCCAGTAATTTTCAGTTTTACAGTTTGAGCCTTAAATGTTTGGCGATGTGATGAATCCAGCATTTCTTGGTCTTACCTTGGTCACACTTCTTCCCGGTGTACGGCGGCTGACACAAACACTGTCCGTCACCCTCAGGACCTTTACTGCACAGTCCATGAACACAGTCACACTCTGCACAGATACAGCCACAGACAAAGTGCAGGAACAGTTTATCAAACAGCTTTGAGGAGTTTTTGCTGCTTTGAAACAAAATATTCAAATCTGGAGTTTATTTTCTCCACTTTGACTGAAGAATCACTCGTAGGAGCTCGGAGGTGAGGAAGTAAGACAGAGTTTACCTTTATCACACTTTTCTCCAAAGGCGTTTGGATTCTTACACTCCTGACAGGCAAACCCAGAGAAGCCGTCCTGAAAACAGAAACAGTTTTTTATTTTTGAAATTGGTTTTGTAATATCATCACAACATCAACGAGATATTTATAAAAAAAAACATTCTTCCCCTCCACTCTCAAACACAAACTAGAATTACTGCCCAGCGCAGAGGCATAAAAAGAGGCAGGAGAGGTTGGCTGAAACAATCCAGATGTTACGTCAGTGAAGTAAACTGACAACTGGACAATATATCATCAGTGTCAGTATTTAGTTAAGAACATGGTCTCCGACAAATGCATAAACAATACTGCTCTGTGAACTCCCGACAGATACTGACATCACAGACGCACGTCCCGTTGCCCAGGTCTCCATCCAGACAGGTTCCGTGGAAGTTACAGGTCTTCCCTGACCAGCTGGGACAGTCTGCAGACAGACGGAAAGACAGACAGACGGACAGACAGACAGATGGTCAGACAGACAGACAGACGGACAGACAGACAGACAGATGGACAGACAGTAAATTAAGTTATTAAGAATTAAGTTTGAGTTTCTGAGATTGGACATTTTTCAACAGGCATATTCAATGGACTGATATAACCACATTTAACAGCAATCTAGCAAATCCTAATTTCCATTTAAGCTTTCCGTGTGTGTGTGTGTGTGTCTTACGGAGACACAGAAGTCCCCAGTGCTGTGGGCAGCACTTTGGCTGCATGAACCTCTTCACACAGATGTGCTGACATCCTTCCAGCTCCACATCGAAGCTGCCGATCTGCACCACGTAACTACAGCACACAGCGAACATGAGGTCAACAAGCTGCTTCATCCACACATCATATTACAACTACTACAATCATACATGATGTTGAGGGGAATATAAAGCTCTGGAAAACATAAAATCAACACTTGACACCAAGTGGCTGGAAGAAGAGGGTGAGAAGAGGGGGTATTCAGTTGGTCGCAATATGCAACTTGACCACTAGATGCCACTAAACCCCAAACACTGAACTTTTAAGTACAGTATTTGAGTAAATCTACTCAGTTACTTTTTCCTGCTGCCAGGTTTGTACCTGCAGTTTGTGGTGCCCACGCGGCTGAAGCCGTGTGGGCAGCTGGAAGT